AGGTGCTGTTTTTAGGTTGCCCGGGGCTCTGTGACCTTCATGTGGAAGACAAACTGTCTCCAGTGCCAATAAAGATCTGTGCTTCTGAAATTGTGATTTGGGGTTTGGTATATTTGGTTGCTCAGAAACTGTTTCTGTGATTGCTCAGTTGTTTTTAGTCCATCATGTGATCACCTGAGTTCTGACCAGCTGACACAGTTGGGGATTTCTCTTTCTCTCACACACACACAGAAAGTACCGCTCCCTTTGATCAAACATTAACCAGCCTGTTGAATCATTTATAAAACATCTGGGTCTAGTCCTGCTTACCTGCAGAAAACTTATAAAAATATATAAAATACTACAATTAATCTGCGTCTAAAAAGCAACCATCTTCGCTGTAGAGACTACAGCTACAAAGAGACACATGTAACTGTGTGCACTCAGGTTGAGTACCGGGTGTGTTTCCGTCTGGTAAAAACAGTGTGGCAGTTTTAATTGACACTGAACTTGAAGGTGAAACACAGGTTGAATGACAAAGAAAAGCTCTACTGTCAGGGCAGAATCACGGTGTATGAGCAAAGAGCTTGACATTCAGTCGAAGAGTTGTATCCTCATTTAACATCCCTCCGTGGCTGCTGAAGTTTCCTTCAGTCTGTTTTCCATCCAGCCCATTAAACACCTGGTCCTGCTGGTTTCTACCTGTGTGTGTGTCTGTCATTCTACCTCCTCACCTGTCCCTCTTTCTCTTTTGCAGCAGTAGAAAATATGCAGGTTGGAGAGGATAAACCAGTCCGGCAAACAGGGTTTTAAGAATACAGGCCATAATTAAACCCAAGAGTGTGTGTGGCGCCGGGGTAGCTCACCTGGTGGAGCACAGACACCATGTACTAAAGAGTCTTTATCCCAGAGGTAGGGGTTCAATACCAGGCAAGGGCCCTGTGTTGCATGTCATCAATTCTCTCTCTTTAGTTTCTATCAGCAACAAGCCCAACAAACCAAGACAGAAACACTTTCACAAGTACAAACCCAGACTCTTCTACTCTCTCTTTCTTCCTCAATATCCAGTAGAGAAGCGCAGTATAAAGCACTGCATTGCTTATCCATGAATTTGTAAATATATATGTAATAGATTATATATTTATAATATAAATATAGGTATTGAATGTCCAAAATAACATCTGCTGAGGCCAATGAGATAATGTAATTTAATTGGTCAGGTCATCCCATAGATATCCATCACCATCACAGTACCCATACAATGGAGGTGAAAATAATTTAATGTGTAATTCAAGCATTGAAATATTTGATTAAAGGTCTAGTGTGCACAATTTCGGAGGATCTATCTGTATGTATGTTTACCTACCTACCTGTAAAATCTATCTAAGAATGAGGTGTTTATCTACAGAGCGAGTCGCCATGTGTCTACAGTAGCCTACAACAGAGAAACCAAACACCTGCTCTAGAGAGCCATAGTTCCTCCTACACGCTTGAAAGGTGAGTGGTATTCAGTTGGTTGTAATCGGCAACATCACCTCTACATGCCGCCGAATCCTTCACACTGTCCCTTCAGAGAAACTCAACAGCAACATCTCTTTGAGGAAACAGTGTGTCATTTAAACTACATTCAGTAAATTGGTTCATAGTATCTAAAGTAAACAGTAAATTAATCTACTCCTACATTTTTATAGCACACTGAATAAATGAGGATGTTGAAATGTTTGGCTGATAAAAACATTTCTCGTTGGGCCGTGTTTAATTACTAGTTCTATTTCTAGTTCATTTTAGAAGCTGCTGCATTAATGCGTGATACTTGGACGAGCCACCGCGTGCATGTTTGTTTGTGTGTCTCTGTGTGTCTGTGGCATCCTGTGTGGTTTTAACAGCTCGGTGTCAAATCAACACCCTCGCTATGGGCTGGACCCACACACACAAACAGAGCCTGACTGGGTGGCAAAGGAATGACCCAATGATGGGGGTCCGTTTAACGAGGATGCGACAGTTGTAAAAACAGCCTCTCACTTCGGGCCGGACAGCCAGCATGCTAATCAGCTAGCGTGAGTGAGAGGTGAGAGTTCTACGGTTTATTCCACTGATGGAGCTTATTTCCATGTTTATTCGTTTAGCGACAGAGGTTAAGTTAAGTGGTGGCAATTGGCAGCAGCTTTGGAAGCTTTGGGGGTTTGAAAGCAATGAAACAAAGTGCAGTAAAAGTGGGCTCTCATACTCCTTCACCCCAGCTGCCAACTAAACTCTCAGGACCCGTGTGTGTGTGTGTTTGTGTGTGTTTGTTTTGACAGCACTACAACACACAAAGCAGATATTTGCATAATGACTGCGGTTGCACCTGCCCTTAGCACTGCTTGAGTGCGTCAGATTTTGCTTTTAAGCTGACAAACCTACTGAGATTATACGCAGCGATCCAAAAATACTCACAAACTGCAGCATCTGAGTTTATCTATGCACAATAAAAGCAGTTTTTGACAGCAATTATCCAATAAACAATATCACACTGCTTGAATGCACACTATAACATTAGTTTTTGTTTCCCTCTTGATTGACACACACACACACACACACACACACAGAGCATCTATAAACATCTAGGACACAATCACGGGCATATTATATATTTGGAACCACTTGATTTGTCTCAAAAGTATCCTGCAATCTTCTTTTAGCTGCTGTGTTTGCAGATGACAGCGTGGGGTTGGGTGTGAGGGGGGCAACACAGGATGTTGATAAAAGCGCAACAAAACCACAGAGAGATGGTCAGACTAAAGAGTACAAAACGCTCAATTACAGGCGACTGGGGGGCATAATCAGCGCTAATGGGAAAGGCCTAATTGATAGTGAGTGGGGCAGCGAGTACAGAGGGGAGTGAGCCATATTCAAGTGTGACTCCGTACATGTACTTCTGTAATGAAAAAGAGACTAAATCTATCGCAAATCAATATTCAAACAGAAGGGGGGAAATAGTATAGAGAGTGATGGATTTGCAATCTGTTTGTATGTAAATGAATTATGTTTTGTTGGTGCTCGCCTGTAATCCAACTATAAAGAAAACGATCCCAACATCCAAAAGCTTGACTCGAAAAATTGACTAACAGGATTTTTTAAATACAGGAACAGTAAACAAGAACTAACTGTTTTCTGATGATGTGAAAGGTTTACAGTGTTAATTGACTGTTTACTGTACATGAGGGCCCTGTGCCATTAAGCCATGAAGCCAGATAAGTGGGTTAAGCCAGCTATCTTTGGGCTTAACTCAGGTTTTCTGCTATCATGAAGCTGGTATCCCAACATGTACAAACACACTGACTTTAAAATAAAGTGACAAGTAATGAAGAGCAATAGGTAATTCAGGGGATAGGGAGGGATAGTTTATTACAGATGAATTTAAATTGGGTATTTCTTACAGTGTGGATCCTTTAACACTATTATTCTATCACTGGAGCTCAGAATAACATGAAGCAACTTTGTGATGATGACTGGAAATATAAACTGCCTACTGTTGTCTTTTATTAGAAAAATAATCCACACGCAGTTAATTAGCTCCCACTAAATTATAAATACAACATTTTAGTGAGACAGACCCAATCAGGCATTAACTGCTTTTCTTCTCCTTTCGCCTCTGCTTTGGCAGAGAAACAAACTTGGATAAACTGGAAATTATTTGGAAATGAGTTCTAGTGTTTCTATAGCTTCTTATTCTCTTCTAGTTGTGTGGTCATATTGTTCACATTTCACCTCCTTCACTATCAGGTTTTGTTGTCACTACAACTATTTTTTCCCCAGAGGTATCTCCTTTCATATTGAGTACTTCATTTATGGTTGTGACAATCTTGCTTGTAACTTACAGCTGTGCCTCTCTCACATGAACTACACGCTTGTAGCTTGATAGCAAAAACACAGATTTAACTGAGCCGGTTGATGACCAGTTTCAGGACACACCGGTTATCCAGGATGATATTGTTTGGCTTGGTGAAGCCAAGTAGCCAGCCACGACATCCAGACTAAGTTGAACTTTAAGTTCTATATTTTCCCTTATGATAAATTGAGAAGAGATCCTGATGAATACACACACAAATGGTGGATAATTGTCTGTATTACCAAGACAATGAAAACATCTAATATGGCAGAACATGGAAACAGACTCCCATGAAAACATGAAAAGAGAGCACTATGCAATTCTACAAAAGCACTAGAAATCAAACTGAACAACAGGATTTCCGCGTAAGTATAGCACTATGGCTCCATGTGGGTAATGAAAAAGGGTTCAGGGATCAGCTGTGCTTCCACCTCCTCCTCAGTTGTTAACTATGGGTGTGTATCTCTCTCTCTATCTCTCTCTCTCTGTCTCTCTCTCTCTCTGTCTGTCTCTCTGGTGCTTTGAGAGGCTTCAGTAGTCTGGCTGGTGGCCAAAAATAGCCCCCCCCCAGCTGGCACACTGGCCCAATTTACGACCCTTCACATTCAGCTGAGGGCAGCCCTGCCCTGGGCACTGTCGGCTCATTTCCCACAGAGAACACAAAACTGTGAATGCACTGAAATCCCACCAGCAGCATCACAAAGGAAATCCCACTTGCATATGTGGTAAATGTCACTGTAGACAAAATCATCCTCATAACTGTCTGCAAACATTTTCTTTGTCATCAGCGCTGATGCTCCCTGCCTGCTTTCACTCCTGGAGATGAGAGGAATGCTGACTCCTTTGCAAGTGTAATAAGATGAGGCAAAAGTGGCCCCAAAACCAAAGTCTGTGATGCTTTCAACTGAGCGCCAACTGCCAGAAGTCTGAGCCAGAGGTTCCACGGACGGCAGCCCGCAAGACCACAAGAGTAAAAATAAATGGACTAACTATTACCATCTACAACTATTCACCAGTGACTTCTGCACCGCAGCTCCCAGTGAGGGCCGCATGGAGCGGTGAGATGGGACATCAAAGAGGTGTGTTACTTCACACACACTGAGGTAAATTTCACAACGTTCTACCAAAACAAACGTAGAAGGTCACTTACCATCTGAGAACGGCTCTTGGGACAGCCATTGATATCGTCAATCTTCTCATTGGCTGAGGAGAGACAGAAAGAGGAGGAAGGGACAGAGAGATAAAAGAAGAGAGAATGAAAACTCTTTTCGGGCGTGTTTGGTTAATGTAATCCTCTCTTTTATTTCCAGTTGAGATCCCTCTGTGTGTGTCCCAGACAGTTGCTGGCTGACTGAGGAGAGCAGAGGTGTTCATGCCGGTGACTGTGACCCCCCCACCCTCCCTTCCTCTCCCCTCCTGCAGAGACATGAAACACTATCTGGTCACAGCAAATGGGAACGGGGCCGCTGGGGGCCCGGCTGAGATGTGTGTTGTGCTGCTTCTGTTGGGGGCGTGTGTGTGTCCTGTCGAGGATTACTCCCGTCTATTAGAGGCCCAGCCCACAGCAGCTGAGACATGGCCATCGGCTCACAGCTGACAACTGTGCCAACAGCACAGCCTCCTGCACCAGGAGGCCCAGTGGGGCCCACCATGCAGCTCCACCTCAGGACCACGTACTGCACCTACCTTGTGAGAAAATACTCTTCTCCCCCTAGTGTCTTTTAAGGTGTCCTTGTCAACTTCCTTCTAATACACACAAATAACTAACTCCCAAACTTTCTGGATTGTGACCCCCTTAAAACAAAGTCAACTTGTGACCCCGTCACAGGTTACATGTCCACATATTGTAAGTAGTTACACCAACAACTAATGATTTTTTTCAACAGAATTTTCTTAATTGATTTAAATATTAACGCAAATTAACAATAATGAGATGTAGCAATGGCCAGTTGATGGGTAGATGCGTTGACTTTGTTTTTCTTCTGAAAAATAACTTATTTTAATTAATTACTTTATTCGGTTTGCTGCAAAAGCTGACAGGTAGTTGTAGCCACTTTCTCTATGCTGTATAAACAAGATGTCCCTGTCTATTTACTGGAACATCAGTAAAATAATGTGGAAAATAAAAGAGTGAAGGAGATTTTAGATGTTTTAATAATAATAATCACTGTCAAACTATTTTTTTTTAAAAATGAAAGAATTTTAAAGAAAATTATTAGCAAAAACATGTCAACCAGCATTCCATACTTAAACAAACATGTCAAATGATCAGTGATTTAACACTGCTACTGTTGGCTCTGGTTTGTGTGCTTTCTAAACAACTGCACTGTGGTGACACCCACAAGAGACAGCTACTCTGAGATACACACTTAAACTCTGAACAAAATAAATGTTCCCAAAATAAAAAAAGCAACAACCAGACACATTTTCCCAAGATTGGGAGCTGAGGACAAAGCTAAATATCTTAGAAGGTCACAGATCAGGTTGACACTTGCTGAAAGATGATCCCCACGGTCGCCTCAAGGACAGTTCATAAGAACTTTGAAGATGACCTCGATATGGAGGTGTACCAAAATACCAAAAGGCTGACCTTGAGCCGGAGTTGGTCAAATAGCTAAACGGGACACATTCGGTCCCAGTATGGGCCGCCTCCTACACCAGCAGGCTGCTCCAGTTTCACCAGCGATTGTGTGGTGTGAGGTTTTCCCAGCGGACAGAAGGCAGCAGGGCAGAACAGGTGAATGAATCGCTTTGGTGCGTGTTGTTTCAATGTGAGAGCAGAGCAGCAGAGGTCAGTTGTCAGAGTGTATATATTGCATGTAGGCTTAATGTTGTGAGAATAGAAATGGCACTGGCTGAGGCGATGATGTGGTGACACGTTTAGACCACGGGAACTTTTACATTTTCAGGAATGCAGAAACCTTTTAAGGGAACTGCATTTTGACTGTTAAAGCAGATTTAAATTTTAGTTCCTGATCCCCAAACAAAGTCTGTGGGCCAGGAGGAGGAACTTTATGAGAGTCCAGGAATAATCAGGTTCCATACTGGTGATAAGAAAAATCAATGACTGGATGAACACAAGCCAGCCAGACAGACTGCTTCAATATGGATCCATATTTAAGCACAAAATTAACCAGAAAACAATCAGCAGATTATTGATACTTTGCAGGTGGATTTCAATCTTCCTGTCCACATCTTTACAGCTCCTGTTCAGCATCCATTCAAACATCAAAGTAATGAGCGTGAAAAGGTACGGCATGAGAGCAGGAGGCCCCCTCAAGCATGTGATGTAAATACATTTCACATACAGTGTATCAAATGTCCCCTTACGCCTGCAAGCCGGATCTAACTCTCAAAAAACGAATCACATGCAACAGCTACAGTCTGAGAACAGTGAGACTCTTTTCTGTGCAGATGAAGCTGTATGGAGCACAAGAAGTATAAATCTGGGTCAGAGACGAGAGGGAAGAGCTGGGAGCACAGACTGTCAGTGACATGCTGAGTCACCGGTCAGCTGGTGTCGGAGCCTGTTTCAGCCTCAGGGCTGTCGGCAGATGAAATGACAGGCTGAGGACGGCCAGACGAAATGACAAGACTTATGATGACACAGATGAGTGTGAGGGGGGGTCAGAAACACAGAGGAGCAGCCCACTTTAACAGCCGCAACCAGGTTGAATGTCTTCACAGTTCTGCTGTCATGTGAACACATTGTAGTGTTTAACCTCTATTGAAGAATTACAAACTTTCCTACTGAATTTAGGGTAACGACACATACATTTTTTGTTCATTTTTTGGAATAAAATACATGTTGGTCAATTGGACAATGAGGTCCTGGAAAGTTGATTGACACATTAACATGTTTGCTCTTGTATCATCAGCACAGTTTTTATGGGTTTTCTGATATTTCTTTCCCTATTTTGCCTTATTATATAGTAGTACATGCTGCTATCCTCTCTGCAGTTTGTTTCATTAATTTCTGTTAGTCACTAACTTTGAGTAAGAATTGAAATCTCAACAAACATGTTTTGCTTCTGAGTGGGAATAGAACACTTAGCAACACAACTTATTCAAGTTCACTCATGATCTTTTTCATTATCTACCATAATGTTTTGTCCCGACTCTATCAGCACAGTCCGGAAGAAATCTATTCAGTTGCACAAGAGCAAATAAACTCTTTGCATGACTCATCCTGAAATTGACACTACTACACCAGATAATAGAGCTAAAGGAATTTGTTCTGTTATATCAACTAAATTAAAAGCTTGTTAGTTCATGATGCTGTCCTTCTTTTGTAAAAGCAACGATTTCTTTGGTAAAGGTCATATCTTTAAAAGTAACCAGTGACGTGTTTCACATTTTTTTCAGCCACCACATGATCAGAGCTGGCTTCCTTTTGCAGATTTTGGAATCAAATGTGTGTTTTCCTTACCTACGACCTGAATGATCTCAGCCAGCAGCACTCCGTCTGTGACGTCTGTTTGCAGGTCCTTGATCAGACGCTTGTGTCCTGACTTGGCAAGGTAGTGGTTGGCCCAGTCCGTGTAGATCTGCGGTCAGACACAAACACAACCACGGCATTCAGTTATGAGCCAACAAAAATAAAATCCAGTCCAAAATAGGGGCAACCCCCATAAGGTCGTCCACGTGTTTCAAACTCCATAAACACTTGAAAACTACAAAAGGTATAAATGGTTGGAGCAAATTTACGACTCTAATAAAATAACAACATGGTTGAAAGGGAGCAGAGTAGCCCTCTTTCTTTTGTTGGGGCTCCGATCTGGCATATATCCGCGTGGTATTCAAATTGGGGCCATTGTGCTCAGCCAGGGCATTCATCTCAGAGCGCACGGCGGCTGTTTTCAATGGGCCATGCTGACATCACTCTCTGGGGACAGAAAAGACCCTTCACTGCCTGGGGGAAGGAGAGGAGGGGGGCAGAGCAAGCATCTGAATAATCTGAATAGCTTCCTTCATAATTAGTTGCCAAACTCTCTCTCTTTTACTCCCTCTCACTCTCGTCAAGAGAAGTGAGTTTCTATTTCTGGTGAGGTAAAAAAATATTTTAAAAAAGGCACACAAAGGTTGAAGACAAGTTGCACAGAACATTTCTCCTAATAAAGAAGAAGAAGCTATTTTTGAAGAACTGATACCTCCTGAATCTGTCTTGATTTACAGCATCACTAGGCTTGTCTGTAAACTGCAGAGACTGAAGTGTAACTTCAGAGCAGTTTCCCCCCCACAGGGATCAGAAACGTGTGAAAGCTTGGCTAAATAAAGACACCTCTCCCTCCGTGTTTCTCTCTGGTTTTCACACAAACACAAAAACTGTTGTGCCAGTCTGGCGAAAAAGATGACAAAGACAGTCAATACGTTTAAGTGACCAGGTTACTGTTGGCTTTCTAAAGTAATCTGATTCCTTCAGTTTCTTGTAAACAAGAAATCTGATTTCCCAGCAATATTTCTCCTAGAGAAAGCACATTTCTTGGCTATGCACATGTGTTACCAGGCTTTTTTATAGGGATGGCTCTCCTGAATCTTCCTGATTATTGTGATTTGATCACAATACTTGGGTGGCGATTCAATGTGTATTGTGATTCTTAAATATTGTAATTCAATAATAACATCTATTGCAATTTTTGTTTGCTTTTTTAAAACTAGACCATGGGAAAAAGTTGTATCATACACTCGACTTTGAGAGACTATATATCATGAGTCATATTCACAAAAACAATGCACATCATGTTTCAGTCATCCTAAATAATTCATTTATGATCATAATAATGAATAGATTTAATAAAAAGTTGATGTCCGATTTCCTGTGTAACCTACTTTCTCGCAGTAACTTGCTTTGTGCATGTAAACTTTTTCAAGAATTTGAGCTTTTCTCTCACTACAGTGAAATTCAAGTGCATGTATTAGTACCGAATGAGTGCACAGCATTGTTAAGGTCAAACATGGACACACAACATGCATGGTGAGGTGTGTGACACGCCTGTGACCCTGGTTTCTTTTTGTTCGCATTGTAAACAGACCTGGAGCTTTTTTCTGCCACGCAACTCATCGGATGAATCATTACTCTCATGATGGCTTACAACAGGTGTGAGCACTTCAAAGGCACATACACACGCATGCACATACACTCATCTTCACGCACAAGCTCACATGCAAAAGGGTTATGAGAGTACACGACTGCACATTAAACACAAAGAGCCTCTGAGCAACGCTTAAATAACAGAGGCTGCGTACCTAAACACAAATGCACAGTTATAAACAGACTCCTGAGTGACACGCGGAACTAAAAAAACCTTAAAGCAGCAGGATTAGGCTCTATACTTTCAATTCACACTCAGCTGGTCATGAAGAAAAGGAAGTGCAGTGTTCAGGAGCTTTTGTGTGTGTCTAAGCTTTCTTTGAAGTAGTTTCGGGCAGGTAAATTGAGGGGTTGGCGTGTAATTAAAATCAAGGTGAAATGGGTAGCTGTCATTCACAGAGCTAGAAACCTGCAGGGGGGTCAAACAGCCTGAGGGCATGTTGAGGTTGTGAGAAGAAAGAAAATGGGAAGTGGGCATGTTACAACAGGTTGCTTTTAAGTCAGGAAAATGAAACTTTTCAAAACAGATTTTGTGTCCCTGATGTCTTCCTCTGAGCCAAAACTGTCTAAATATGACATATAAGGTGTTTTAAGTTCAGGTCTGTAAAGGAAACATGCAGGGATGATGTATTTTAGCACTGTGATCTGGAGGTGCAATGACCACAGGAATCTGGTGGGCAATCGGTCACTGTAGCTCTACTGACCTTTTTAGCTTATTTTAGCTCATTGTTTTGGTTTTACCACAGATTGTGAGATGGTCAACTCTCACCTCTCTTGGCAACCTTGTTTCCAGCCCTGATAGACCATACCTGCCCAGCACCACAACAGCAGGCAGACTGTTAGCATCTAGCACTAGGAGCCGAGTTGGTGTAGACTAAGGAACAGTAAATACTGAACTTACATTCATCAGTTGAACTGAAGCACGACTCCATATGAATATCTGTAGTCTCTGAGTGTGTTAGACAATTGTTAGCTAACATGTTAGCCATAACAATCTGATAAGGATTAATGTGTCTATTGTCTGATTTTCCTGGCCCCAGTGGACAAACCATCCATACTGAAGTGGCAACCGATACTTGAGCGACATTTAAGTGGCAGCAAGATGCCTAGCATGTGAACATAAACATAAGGAATGAATTACTTGTAACCATTATTAATGGAACAATCTCCAATGATACACAACTAGCACTGAGGTCCATCCCACCACAGACCAAACGTTACAACATCAGTCTGTTGCCTTTAAATCAAAGACTATTTTAATAATCGAAACATCCCAAACGCATAAATTTGGATCATGTGTGTTTAACCACAACTTTATTGTAGCTTCCGTGACCTGAAAATTGCTTGAAAGGAGGTGGGGGCTGATGAGAAGCAGGCATTTGATCTGAGAGGCCTTTTAATAAGCTGCATGGTTAGTGAAGAGGAGTATTGACTCCATATTGAGTCAGTATCTATCAGAAAGGAATGAGGTACAACTGACTGCAGCCCAGTCTCTACACCAGAGGGAACTACTCTGCATATTGAATAGAACATTTAATCAAAACTCCACAGGGTTGTAAACAATGGATGAATTGAATCAACCTCATATGAGAATTAATTAATTCCTTGACTGGATAAGAGGGTGACGTAGAGGCTAAGTGGTCATTATTACTACCTCACAGTCAGTCAATGCAAAGTAAGAAATAAGTAGGTTTAATTTCAGGCCATTGAACATCAATGGTTCTTTTATACCAAACAAAATGTGTCTGAAGCATCAAGTATTAAAACCTGTCAAGTATTAAAGGTTGGCATTAATGAATGATCTTCTTTTATTGATCTAAATCAGGAATCACTGCTAGATTTAGACTGTAAAGGCAACTTAAGCACTGCCATAATAGCTTAAAGTTGCAGTGTTGGATAAAAGTAATAAAGTAGATTCATACATACAGATTTAGGTAAATAAATACATACAATCATGTTTACTGCAGACTCTAAACCTCCTGTTGGTCTAACAGCATTTGGCTTAATGAAAACTGGGATCTGTTTCAACCACTGACGTAATAATGACCAGGCCTCACTTCTGAAAAATTACAGATAATGTCCCTGCTAATATGATTATATAGTGCACCATGGCATACAATTAAAATCTTAAACTCCAGTACCCACTCCACTCACATCCATATGTCAACACTGGCTGACTGAGGGATATTAATGAGTCTTATGTGGCTGATGATCAACAGACACATTTTCCAACAGGGAAAATCCCTCGATTCCCAGAAACTCCCAGTAATCCTGACACTTCTCACAGGATTGAGGGTCTTTTTTAGGAGCTGTAAATTGGTGTCAGGGACATTCCCGCCACCAAAAAGCAACATGACACTGACTCATTCATACCGCCAGGGCCTTATGGTAAATGTCATATGTGTCACCTTAACAAACTATCTCTATTTTTAGATAGTTATTTATGTTTTTCAGTTTGTGCGGACCTTAAAAAGTTAAATAAAAAATAGCCTATAGTAGCCTATTCTATCTAACACTATACAAACCGTGGGTTAAGGCTCTGCAGAGCAAAGTGACATTGTGACATTACATCTGAATTTGGATCAAACACAAGAACCTAAAAACAACCGACCATCAATTCACCAGCATACACTGACACATTCAATGAATGTTCACATAATAATGTCCAATTTAAGCTTTCTGAAATGACAGAGTCAGTTCTTCAAAGACTATGACAAGCAGTGTTGAGTCACTCATATAGACAGCTGCATCTTTTTTTTTTTTTCTCGCACAAACACAAAAATCTGCTTCACATCCAGCAACCCTGCTGCCCCCGTTTGCTGAGTCACCAGGCTGGTGTGCGATGCCTACAGAAGGGCATGACGCATACAGACCATCCCCACAGTGCTGGGTCAGCCTGGGCGGAGAGAGGGTGAGGGCAGCCAGGGCATCACACTGGGCGAGTGCCCTTGAGTTCAAGGGGAAGAGTGAAAAGTGAGTTTTCTGTTTAGGCCGGATGGCTCAGCTGCAGGTGCAGAGGCGTAAGTGTAGCAAATGTCAGGACATATCATGACGGAGGCTGACTGTACAGTAGGAGGTAAGCAGATGTGCTTTTGTTCTTCTTGCGGCCTTTCGTGTGTTTGTGTGTTTATGTTTTGCATTAATCTGCTCTTTAATCTCTGTTGTTCTTTGCACTGACGCTGACTTGTTAAGCGATACGTGCTTGCTAATCAAACACTGTAGCGATGTTGGTCCTGTTGTTGGGTGAGAAATTTTGAAAAAGGAAGAAATCCACCTCAGTTGTTAGATTAATGTTGGTTGACTTTTTTATTTGAAATATTTTGGAATACTTTTACTCTTTTTTTAAAAAAATGCATTTTTTGCAAAAAAAAATGGTAAAACAGGAAGTTTTTGATGTAAAATAATCACATTCAGTCAAATACATAGCAAGCCTCAATCTGCACAAACGAGACTTTCTAGTCTCCTCATGCAGCATTTCATTCTTCAAACTCCTCCAACCAACCATTTTCTAATCTAGTCCCTAAAACTCAGTATTTGGTTTATGGAGATGTTGACAGCCCACACAGCATGAACCATGCGTCAATGAGTCAATTCAAAAGAAAACATTTAACAGAAGACCTTTCAACTTTATGGTTAGCTATGCCAGCAGCTACATAAATGTCCAGAAACAATTCGTAGACTTATTTATACTCTCAGTAGGATGCATACTACATATTATGATCATATTATGATGATCAGTAGGTTTTTAAAGATGAATGTGTTAATATTACCAGCAAATGAACACCCATAACACCACTTAAGCTCTTCATTTAGGTGAACTCATTAAAATAACAAAAACAAGAGCCACTAATTCGTTATGTGACAACAGCAATACAGCGGTATATTTTTAGCTTGATGAAGGTGATTTTATATTTATTCATCCAGTGAAACTCTTTAATAGCTTGTGAGTTTTCTTAACCTGTTGAGGACCATTTAGTCTTTCCTTTGCAATTCAAGCAGCAGCTACACTTTACACATTCTCACATGACAACAGTAACACACAACACCTCAGGTCTGTCCATTGAAGCACAGTTCTCACATACGTTCATGGCGCAGGGCTTTCCACAAAACAATTATGTTGATAACTTCAGGGCTATTAGCCTTATTACTTTCAGGGTTCAGTAAGCAACCTAAAAAGCGCTGCACTTTACACGCTATTATGAAGTAATCTACTGGCATGAACAAGAACTATAAAGAGAACACAGCAGGACCAAAGCTGCTATAAAGTGCTATCTCTCACGAGAAGCTTTCATAGGGAGCCAGGACTTAAACAGCTCTTGTTATAATTCAGGTAATGGCACTGAGCAGAGTGCTGAGTCTACAAAACACATGCTCCGATAACAATGCTTTCTTCTACCTTTTCAAAGGAAATCTACCTTTGAACATGAGGTGCTTAGCCAGCTAAGATGAAGGCCTCTTCCACTGACCATGTTTAGGACATCCAGGGGTTTATGAGGTAGCACTAAATCCCAACAGTAAGCTTTCATTCATTCGCTCAACTCACAGAGTGTGTTACCTGCCTCCGTCAGTGGGCTTCTAAAATAATTCCTGGTGGCTCCTGCAGATCTGGCTCTACCCCTGACGTTTCTATTTCAAGCTGACCTCTTTCTCTCATAACTCCCAAGTCCTCCGGTTAATGTCTGTACAAACACCTTCTTCCCTGTAAATGGTTTCCTCCATGTTATACTGTCTGTTCACTTCACGGCTGCTGTCAGGTTTTTAAATTAACAAATGACTGCACAGTAAAATGTTCTTAGTTCATCAACAGGTGAGTTGCTGAAAGAAATGCATTAATAACATCCCAATAGCCCATGAACTCTAAAACCTTCTCTACACTAACCCCTCTATGGTTTCTTACCAATTTGTAGTTTGTGCAGGAGAAGCGGCTGTAGCTCCTGGCCGACACCCTGAGGCCACCATAGTCCTCCATGTGAGCCCGTCACCTTGATAAAGACAACTAACAGGGCAAAGCGAACAACTAGAGGTCCATAAACTTCCAGAAGACCAAAAGAAGAGTGCGCTCTGTCATAAAGACGAAGTGGAGCGAGTAAATATAGCCACACTGTTTGATGACTCTCCTGTCCCTCTCACATCTCTGTAACAGCTCTGTGTGCCTGTTTGCCTTGTCGTCTGTATGAACAGGACATGCTTTACTCCTCTATATGTTCTTCTCTCTTACCTCTCTCTCTCTCTCTCTCTCTCTCTCTCCCCTTCAGACTGGTTCATAGGGAAGCCTCAGACATCCTGACACTGTTTTAACCCCTCTCTCCCTCTCTTTGGGTGTCATTCAATCTGTCTGAGTCAGGCAACCTGACTCAGTTCCCTCTTCTGTTGCTGGTAGAGAAAACACTGAAATGGAACATTTTATTTTTGGAATTCAATTCAATCTCACTTACATATCTTGATAAGCACGTAAAGACAACATATGAGTTTTTAACACGTTATGGTGTGACAGACGATTTTCAGCCACCACCATTTTCTCATTAACTCTATTAATTGGCAAGGTTTCAGATACTTATGGGGTTCCTATGAACTTGTTCCACAGGCCTACTATAGTACTCTTAAGCCACACTGCAGTGGTCACATGTTTCCACTGTAGTCTCTAATACTGTCCACCTGCTAGGTAGCATTGCCAACCTGTGATGGTATCTACCTCAGCCAAACTGTGTCTTGTGCTTTATTGGCTCAACATAATATGTGGTCATCCAGGCAACTAGAAAAAACACATTTTCTAGTGCACATAGTGCCCCACAGCTCGCAGTTGCCCCATGGGTCTGGGACAGATGGTGTAAATGTGATGGATGTCTCTCCTCTCCTGTGACAGAGCTCCTGACACTGACTGACAGAACATTTCAATGTCTTCTTCCTCTGACACACCTGGTGCTGTACATTACAGCAGGCGCCCGCACACACTGACACAACATGAAGTTCACATGGGAGGTCTCAGATCTTGATCGCAGACTTGTATTACTGTTTGAAAACCAGTTATTGTCTCAGATACTTATATACTTTAACCAGCTAAGTAATGTGCTGACAGTGGCACTGTCCTGCTCTATATTCATACGCTGACATAAATTCGGAACAACCCTGCGTTTCAACTGCCTTCAGAGCAGCTTCACTAGAGAAACTCAGAAACTGGTGGCTTTGCTCGAGGACACACACACTTGTGCATTGGTACCAACATTTTAAAAATATGATGTGAAGCAGATGTGAAAAACATTCACGACATATTTCTCTCTGCTGCTTAATGACTCTGACAAGCAGTGGTGTGTGCACATTTTCTAAACAGCAGGGGTGAAAATGGAAAAAGGGGTACTCCCTCTGTATGTAGTGAGGGGTTAGAGAATACAAAATTATGCATGAATGTGTCTTATTGGAGTGCAGACATATAGTGTTTAAATAAATATTTGTTAAAAGGAAAGAACACTTTGGGAGACACTTTGATATTTTATGCTGGCATGGCAACCTTTTAACACAGACAGCGGCATAATCTACTTGCTGTAGGAAATAGTTTCAGATGGTTTGTATGAATTAAACAACTCATTTGTAGAAAAAAATTCTTTGGACTCTTTAGTGCAATAAACCAATTCTTCATGCACCGCCTCTGTGTGATCATATCTTATAGGCAAATCATGAGCTTGTTAAAGGATTTTTTTGACCTAATAAACTATAACTACTGCTATCAAAATAAATGCATTAATTTATCTTATTAATGTTAAATATTTAACACTTTTTAAAAAATCAATGCCATTTACGCTGCTGCATATTGTTTACTTCCTGAGGCGGATGAGCTATGACCTGTGACGAGATGTGCTGCCAAAGCGAACCATCCTGGCTAAAGATAGATGGAGGATGGAGGAGGAAAGTTGACTTTAAAAAGCTGCCTGAAGGATCTTAAGCAAAAGTAAGCTGCAGAGTGTGCAAAGCCAAATTGAATTATCTCAGTTTATCACCTCAAAGCAAAACGCTCTACTGAAACAATCTCTGCAGTGCTGCACCAATCTACATTGCATGAGTGTGGTACCTATAGTAGAAGACGATGGACCAAGAGAAATCCATCTTTCATGCTTTTTCACTACCAGTGTTGTAGTTTACAAGGTGAAGGATGACCTCTATATAAACTCATTGATGTTATGTGCAGTACACAACATATATTCTTGTCAGTGACCCCTCCTGCTGCATGACCATGCTGGGTCTCATCGATAAGGACTCCGCAGCTCTCCGTGCTGCTGCAGGCTGAGGGTGACATGTGGCAGCACATCCCCTCTGACCCAGTCTGGCTGGCTAGCAGATGGCTGGTGGGAGAATGATGGATGGACTGATGGATACACTTACACAATAATCTAACAGAAGGATGCAGGGAGGGGAAGGAGTGGTGGATTGGTGCAGGTGATAGCCTGCCACTTTACAAGTGTATAAGTGTGTTTCTTTTTCTGTCACACCTAACGTGTAGAGTCAAGCAAGACACTAGCTGTAATTGCAGGAACCCCCCTCACCTTAAATAAGTCAACGCTAGATAAAGGGAAGCATCGTCTGCACAGCTATCAGTGCACACTAGACACAGACAGATGGCCTCTGAGAAATCAGTGTCCCTGGTCTGTATGATATGACAACAGAGGGCTGCAGGCTGCTCTGCCAGCTGCTGTGATGCTATATACAGGACACAATGTTTTTAGCTTTGTGCTCTAACACCGATAGTTTCAGTTTCAGACCACAAACTGGACTGAGGCATCCTCAGTTAGCTGAAGTGTGTGGATGTAATCCCACCCCTCGTCCAATCTTTGCAACTCTACTGTCTGATAACAGGAAAAAGAGCCAAGAAATTACGAGAAAAAAATAAGCTCCACTGCGCCTTTCAGTGTAGCACCTTTGCACACCAAACAGGCAGGATAGAGGCATTGATCTGCTGACTGATGTTTTTGATTCCGTAGGTGCCAGGTTAAGGGCTGCCATTATGACTAAAACTGACTTTCCATAGTAATTGCTCGATGCAAGTCAAACCACAGACAAATGCACAACTGCAACCAGAATGTTTGAGATAAAACCAGACATAATCAATGAAATAAGGCACAAGAAACTGGAAAAAGAGAGCCCAATAAGATAAGGTTTGGATTTTAAGAAGACTGAAACACCCAAAACAGTGTCCAGTGTGTCAAACCACTTTGTAATAATGTTGCAATGTGTTATCACATCTGCTAAACCAATCACTGTCACAGCACTACCGACAACTCCTAAAATATCTGAACTGGCCATTAGTATCACCTCCTAAACAGCGACCACATTTATTCCAGCACCTAGTCCCACAAACAGGTGGAGATCAGTGAAAACACAAACAGAACCTGTGACCATGTCTACATAATAATATATTATGTTCCTGCAGTGAAAAGGGGCTATTAGAAGTCAGCTCCTTTATCAAGGGAGGGACAGCAAGAGGATGAAATATAAATTGAGACGGTGTGAGAAATGTGTTCAGAGTGCATACACATGACTTTTATGTTCTTCATACAGCACCCATATAGAACCTTCTCCCCACTCTCTCCTCTGCATCAGCAACGCAGCTGTGGCTGCCCCTTCTCCTTCTCGGCCCCCAGCAGGATGCACCATGGATGGTTTTTGGTCTGTGGGGCCCCTGGCAGCTACTTTCCCCCCCTTGGTTCTCTGTTGTACTCACACAGGCCTCTCAAGTGGCTTTAGCCCGCAGAAAGCTGAAACAGGCCACTCTAAATGAGCCCTCATGTCTCTGCTTGCTCTCTGTTTGGCACATGAAAGACATGTGGCTTTGTGAGGCATGGAGGCCATACCAAGCACATGCTAGACAAAACGACTTGGCCCGAACTCTGCAGTTTAGATTATGGGAAACAGTCATCCATCAGAAAACCAAGAGACTGGAGTATGCATGTGTGGTTATCTGTACATGTGATACATAAACTTATGGAGGATGGAGAAGCTTGACCCTCCAAAAAGAACATTTGCACCCAATAGTGGTAGTTTTGCTAATGCTTGTCTACATAATTTACATTGGATATTTGACAATGCCCAAATATTCAAAGGTTAACCCAGAATATGATAATATTGAATCATGAATACTACACTCCCAAATCCCCTAAATTGGCGCTTTGGATGCTGCACAGATGAAATGGCACAGCAGTGTCTGCTATGCAACATCTGATCAGGATAAATCCTGAGACATGCTGATGCACATGAAGGCACAGCAGCCCAAAAAGTGTTATTAAAGAGGGATTAGCTTGTTTGTAGTACTGTATGAGTGAACAAGCCATATGCAACGATATCAATTCCATGCAGACAAAATTTTCAGACAGCTGCCTCAGGGTCCTTAAAAATCAGCTCCAAACTCTGCAGGTCTAGGGGCTTTACCCACAATGCAGCATCTTATATAGTTTTGAACTCCAAAATTCTACAATATCACTGTTGTTTGAGCTGACTAAACAGTGGTTAAAACTGTGTATCCTGTTGCCTAATCGGATGTAGAACCATGTACATCTGTTGCAATCTCCCCAGTTAAAATCCGGCCCTTGCTGCATGTCATCCCTCTTTTTGGTTTTGTGGTTCACTAAGGCTAAGATGCATGTAATGTACCTGTGACATCCCTGTGGTTCACTCAAGCTCAATACTTTGACTGGATGTTGCNNNNATGTTTAATTGCACAGACACAACTAAAAACATTGCTTGGAGAAGTTTGAATCCATCTCACTGCGCTAGAGATTTCAAAACTAGTCAAGACATGCAGCTGAATTAATCTCTCTTCAGATGTTGCACCACCTGGATGGTTGTGTTGATCCTTTACAGACAAAAAAGACTTTGCTCAGTCAATAAAGTCATCGAAAGAACAACTGAAAAGCAAGTGAGCAGGTAGATGCATGCTGTGGCTGCTGTGTGCATGTGAGAGTCTGGCAAAGCTACACACATTACACACAAAATACCACAATGCACCACATGACAGTGCACACCTTAACTAAAACCAATTATGGTTCCATTATTTTTTTCTGCTCTGTGCATGGCATGTCTCTGACCAGGATTAAATCATGAATTTAGATTTATGCTCCACAGGTCATATGCTGACATATGGACCCTGACAATATAATAATCAATAGACTTGTATTAGAACGGAGAGGATTATGGACATCGACTACACTTCATAATAAAAAGGAAGGTCATTTTAATTTCTGGAAGTGTGTGCACGTGTTCAAGTGTTCATGCCTG